ATTGCAACCTGTTTAAGATAAAGAAATATATCGCAGTCCATTCTAAGTGCAATGGTGCCCTTATGAAACAGGATCATCGTCAGGCGAAGAGTTGGTGGTCGGTCATCTAGTACAATCAAAGTTTACTGATGTTTCTCGCACGTACAGGCCGAAAGACATCATCCAAGATATTCGTGAGGAGTACGGTGTAAATATGAGTTACGACAAGGCCTGACGTTCGAGCGAAGAAGCACTCCGACTTATCAGAGGGGATCCAGCTTCATCGTACAGGCTACTACCCGCTTATGGGGAAGCCGTGAAAATCATGAACCCAGGTACTATATTTGAATTGGAGTTGGATAATAGCAAGTACTTCAAATATGTCTTCATGGCCATGGGTCAATCAATTAGAGGTTTTATGTGTTGCATTCTATCAGTTTTGGTTATTGACGGGGCACACCTTAAAGGGAAGTAAAGAGGTGTATTACTATCTGCTTCTGCTGTTGATGTGAATAACCAAATATACCCAGTTGCATTTGCAATAGTGAGGAGTGAGAGCATCGTATCATGGGTATGGTTTATGACTCAATTGAAGAGTGTTGTCGACACCGTTCAAAACTTGGTCTTCATTTCTGATCGACATGCCAGCATTTGTAAAGCGATTGATGAGATATTTCCTACTGCATTTCATTGCTTTTGTATACATCATCTAAAGATGAACTTGCTGGCCAAATTTACAACGCCCGCGCTGGAGGCATTATTTTTTAAGGCTGCGAAGGCATTTCGCGAGTCATATTTCAATGAGAACTGGGTCCAACTGTGCACACACCCAGGAGTTAGGGAATATCTGGAAGCTATAGGAAAGGAACGATGGGCTCGCTGCTTTCAGACGAAACTAAGATACTCACAAATGACCACTAATATTGCAGAGTCCATTAATGCACTTTTCAGGCATGCACGTAAGTTGTCAGTCACCGCATTACTTGATCATATCAGAGGTGTGTTGCAGAGGTGGATCTACGAACGTCGGACGCTTGCTTCTTCACGTCAGAGTACGTTGTCTGACTGCACAGAGGAAATGATTGCCGAAGCTTCGGATAATGCACGGAGACACATTGTGATGAACATCGACCAGTTTAATTTTGAGGTACGCGACGGGAACCTGAATGGGGATGTTGACTTGCAATCGCAGACGTGTACTTGTCGGGAGTTCGATTATTTTAAAGTCCCGTGCTCCCATGCTATTGCTGCAGCCAATTCTCGTAGCAT